TAAGATAAGATTTGCATGGAAAGTTGGCTTTGTCACTAGCGATGCCTCCAAAAGAGGACGCACTACAGTTTGAACATGGTTCCCACCTGGTTCCTTGGTCGTCCCTCAGAACGTTTTCCCCACACATATATAGAGAGGACAAGCACACAAGATGCCAGGAATCTGAACTGCTCATGATGCACAGACATGTCAAGCACACTGAAAACTGTCTTTTTTGACCATTCGCTTGTCTATTTTATTTTCAACTCTTGTCTCATTTTCACGCCTCTGTTTTCACGCGAGGTGCCTGGGGCCCAATATTTATTGATGGTTCTCAGATGTCCACTGTAGTCTTATTCTCAAGTATCAGCCCGAATCAGCCCAGATGTTTTTTTAAATGTCAAAGCTGTGCGAGGCACTGACTAGTCAGGGTCCTTTATAATTATGATAATAAATACTGGAAGTAATTACACATATCATTGTATCATGAGTATGTGGACTGCATCGCCCCGCTTTCACCACATTCTTCTCTTCGTTTAAGCACTATTGTGTTTTCTATGCATCTCTCAGTTTGTTGCGGATCATGTTCAAGAACCCAGTCAAGACTGGATTCTCTCTTGGCTCTCTTCTTGGGAATGTAGGTTGGCATAATAGTCCGGTTGTTGTCAAGGGAAGTGTTTGCTTTATGATGCTTTTTGTATGCTGGGCGCATGGGCATGTCCAGTGGTTTATACTCTTTATGCGGCAGAACGGTTCTCTTCATTGGTTTCATGTGGCCTTTGTAATTTTCATGAGCATTTGGATCAACATCCCATCAAAGAGAAGCAAAGTGATCCATGATCCTCCATGTCACTCATGTCATATCGGACCTATCAGTAGACTAAGGGGAACAGGTGTTGCAACATGTTGCAACTTACTCAAGATGAACAAGCTTTGTCCTGGTTTTGTACACAAGCCATGGATATTGGCATGTGTAATTAAGGGGCACCGGCACCGGTGTTTTTTAAGCCTTGGTACCATCGACATCCTGGAGGTATCCAATGGCTAAAGGACTCTGAAGCTACAAGTGACAAGCCACAACTGAGCAGTGTTGCTCGGATGCAAAGGATTCCGAAGGTTTTACATCGGCTGTGCATGAGACTGAGTTAATGTGAGTTGCAAAGGGATCTTGACTCTGACGCAACTTGACACCCCGACCCCAACCTGTTTCCTGTCTTTCCCAGATCCAAGATATTGCAAGATCTTTCTGGAATGAGGCAAGCCGGGTAGTGGCTGGAGGGCGTGGCCTCAAGAGCGGAGAAAACTTCGAGAAGGCTGACAGTTGACACGATCACTGAAAGGACGACAACATTGACAACAGATACAAAACGTGCCATGCCAGGGAAGAACAGGATAATAGGAAAGAAATCAAAATCAAAGTGTGAGACCATTTGATAAGAATAAGACATGGTTCGCATTGTTTAACAACATTGTTTTACATGTTTTAACTTGCTGTATCTTGCCGTGTCCAGAGGTGCTGGAGCCACTTTGTGATAAGCTGAAAGCTGCTCTGGGCGCATCGCGTGCTGCAGTGGATGCGGGCTTTGTGCCCAATGAGCTGCAGGTGCTTCACTGCTTCCCCATGAAGGATTAAAATTTGGCAGAAAGATGTTCTTCGTTTCGACGAAACGAATCGAACATATTCCCAGACTCCGACAGAAGAGACCTAATTCTAGCATATTCTAGCTTTCTTTTTGAATAAGGAAGTTTATTAAGCACAGGAAAAATAGCAGGAAAAAAGAAAAACAAACCGGGACTACAAAAGCGCTGAATGTGCACCAAACCGAACACTTGCCATGGACTGCCTCTAGGCGTCCCTAGGCACGACTTCGCATCATCATTTGAAAGCTCTTTGCTGTTGCAACCAGGTGGGCCAAACTGGGAAGGTTGTGGCACCTCAACTGTACATCGCAGTTGGCATTAGCGGTGCCATCCAGCACCTAGCAGGAATGAAGGACAGTGTACAGAGATGGCTGCCGTCCGACAAGAGCTGCGGTCGTCTTTGGTTTTTGGTTCAATCAATGCAATTCTGAATTTGTGATATGTGGGTATGATAAAAAATCCTATTCCAGGTACAGTACTTTATCCTTTTATCAAGGACTTGAAACAGCACAGAGACAGAGCCAGGCAACATCGGGCAAGAATTATTTTGCAGGCTCAAGGTGAATGTCAGAGACAGTGAGGCTGAGGAGAGAGTGGACAAAGGCATAGACAAAACTCTCCAAAAAGTCTACGCGTGGAAGAAGTTGTTAAGTGGTTTCTACCATGGTCAACTATTTCAGCGGATCAGTCATACTGGCTGCTTTGACTACATACTTGTATGGTGCATCTTCCCGTGAAGAGGAATCAAGTTTGACATCATCAATTTTGATCTATGCGTCGACACTGCAGGACTCCAAGACGATCGTTGCGATCAACAAAGATGCAGATGCTCCTATTTTCCAGGCTGGACCACTGCTGGACAATGGCTGCTAGGAGGATAGTGATTTGCTTGAAATGAAGAGGTTGGAGCCTTAAATAATTATTCACCATAAGTTTGGCAGATAGTGTGAAGCACAGACCCAAGGAACTCTGCAGAGTAGCTGTTGTTGCGCAGAGTACGATGTTGTACGTAGTGCTTTGGTTGTTGCAGTTTGGGAGAAACAGAACAATGCCGTGTTCAACGGTGTGCTCAATACGTCAATACTGCATCACTGGCCTGGTCAATACTGGTAAAACATATTAAAACATATTAAAACATGGTAAAAGTTGGCTCTCAGACTCTCTCAGGTTGCCGACTATGGCCTGGTAGCTGACCTCTTTGAGACGGTGCCAGAGTTGACGAAAAAAGTTTGAGTCTTCAAGGCATCAAGCGGTTCCGTCCGCGATTTACTCGGTGCATTTGGTTGGGAACTTTCAACCATGCAAAATTCTAGTTTCTAGTGAAATTAGTGAAACTTGTTTTGTCAACGGACCACAACAGAGCTCCATTGTGTTGCAAGTTGTTTCAAACTGTGTCAAGAGAAAACACTTTCCTTAAAGCGTTTCTGTTCACTGGAAGTGTTTTGTACTTCGCAGATTGCACAAGGACATTGAACAATGTGCTTTGATTCAACAGAGGTTCGTCGATGAGTTAGGAACCCTCATGTCTGATGGTTTAAGCGATTCCAAACGAAAGTCCTGGACGTAGACGTATTGAATATCAAGGGTCTGATTTGTGACTGACATGAGTGGCATGCTATTTTTTCGGGGGCCATACATTCAATGTTTCTCCGTGATGTGAATGACGTTAGATTTGTCTCAGATTAGTGTAAGACTTACATAAGATGTGTGTCTTGTTGAGGCTGGCCTTGCACGACTGGCCGGAAGCGACGCAATGTGGCGCCTTTCGCCTTCGGCTTCGTCCTACCCAGAACTCTTCCTCCAAAAGGTCGCCCGGTTTCCAGTGACCTGCCGGAAATGTCTTCACCCTGAAGACTTCCTCGAACAGCAGGGGGCTCTATGCAGTCAAAGAGAACGATTGATCAATTTTAGGCCAAACTACAAAAATTCGAAATGATTTTGTGTTGGAGGTCTTACTGTACATAATTAGAGGATCGAGATATTTGGATCCAACGTACTGTATACTGTACGCATCATATCATACCATCATGAGTTGGAAGACTAAAATCACTAAAATGTGGATGACTTCTTTGAGGATCTCCTGTAGAAGATTCTATGTTGAGAGCTTTCCTGGGCAAACTGCACTGTTTGGCCCCCTGCCGGGATAGCTTTACTGTCTCCAGAAAGTCTCCAGAAGGTGCAGCAGATCTGGCGTTGCCTGAACAAACTGGTGCCATACCGGGTTCCCGGACTTATTATGGATAAGTATAAGTATAGTATAAATATATATACGTACAGAAACTGCAACATAAACTTTTATTTATACAATACTATATTATATACATGCACAAGGCAGTGGCGGAAGTTTCAAAGATAGGAAACTACTGTATGGGAGAGGTGAGCAGTGTAGTGTGGTGCGGTTGAAGCTCCAAAAGTGGTCCGATCGTGGTGCGTTTTCACATGTTGACTTCGAAATGTGCTTTGCGCCACAACGGCATGCACTTTTTGAACATCTTAACTTCCAAAATTGCTGCGAATCCGAGGTGTTGACATTTTGACTTCGAAATCCGCCTCGCGCCACGATGACGTGCACCTTTATTTAAACATCTCAACTTCCAAAAGTGCTCCGGAGCTGAGATGCTTTGCACCTTTTGACTTAGAAATGTGCTTCCCGCATCTTCCCGCCACCTTCTTTCTTCTTCCTTTCCCACCTCTGTTGCTTCATTTGTCCATATTGTCGGAAGTTTGACCTCTAAACTTCCTTTGATGGTTATGTGAGCCATGGGTAGTCATGAGTCATTTGTATGGCAATTACATGACATCAATTTGCCGAGAAGTCCAGACATTCAAATTGTTTTGGCCTGCGCCGAATCTAAGCCCCCCTTGACACCTCAGCCAGGCAAGGTCCAGGTGAGGAGTCTGGCTCCGAGCGATTTGCGCTTGACCACAAGAAAAGATGCTTGCGGCTGCTTGCGGATGGTAGAATCACCGAAGGACATGGAAGGACCGTGTTCCACGATTTGGTGTGCACAGAAGAAACTCCGGCATGATCTCCGCAGCTCAAGTTGGCTGTCCCAATCAATATAGCAGCATGTATTCCCAAGACATATGGTTTCTTGGCTTGTTCAAGACAGAACAAGATTTATTTTCTCTGCAAGTATGGGTTTATATGTGTTTTGGATATTTTTGGATGAGTATAAACTTTCAACATAATATGTCTAAAAGTTGCGACTGACTGCATACCAGTACAAGTAGCTGGCATCTCATGGAAATACCGCAAACTCTTTCAAACAGTGAAAGTAAATGTGCTTTGCCCTGTTTGAAGTACGAGAGGAACTCTGACATATCTTGGAGACACACCTTTCAGAAGTTAAGCAACAGCCCGGCGATGGAAGAAAGCCATGGCAAAGCCTGGCGAATCTTCCGCGGTGAACTCCCTTCAAGTCGGGGAATTTGATATAGATTACACACTTTTCCCCAAGTTCCAGTGCAGTATCGGCTATGGCTCTGGAGTCTTTCGACAGGACTCCATTGTGTCTTCTCCTTTGCGGTCTACCTTGTTTTGGTTTCTTCATGCTCTCCATGCTTTTTCTCACATTTCGGTTTCCTTTCCCTTATGCTTTTCATCTTCCAGTTCCATACAATTCCATTTTGTTTTCCTGTGTTGTGAACTTCTCAGCTCTTTGAGGAAACTCATGTGTGTCAGGAGGGTTACGATTTGAGCAAGCGACCAATGGTGGACTTGTTGCTGGTTGTAGCCGACGAGGCCCAATCAGGGGAAGGGGTAATAGGTTTTGGCATATGAAAGATATATTGAAATATCTCAGGTTAGCAAGTATGGAGCCGTAGAAACTATTAACATATATATATATACACATGTCCAGATGCAAATAGAAGAATAGCAATTTTCAAATATTTTTTAATCATTGTATTCTGTTTTTATTAAGTTCTTCGGCTGCGCGGTACTTGGGACCTGTCGCTTCACAATTCTCAGGACCTGGAGGAATGGCATAGCGAGAATCTGAAATCACAGCCACAGCACTACTCCGGCTTGGCCAGGCACAGCTGCAGAGCAACCCGTGTGGCATAAGCTGGGCCAATGCATCGAACATGATACAAAAATCATCATAAATGTATTATAACATATATATATATATGTAAGATGATTCTATATTTCATATTACATATATAATATTCAACATTACATGTTCTATATTGCATAAAATGATATATGCTATGAATATCTATAAATTGTGCATTATATGTTTTATTATAACTATATATATGTGTGTTGTTTTTGATATTATGTATTGAATATTACATGCTACATATTATGTATGCTTCATTTTTTCATATGATGTTTTATTATATACGATTTATTACTCTATATTATATATATATTCTAACATTATATATTATACATTTGATATTTTAAACTATGTACTTATTAGATATTACAGTATATACGAAGTATAATGTGTGTATATATATATATATTATTTACGATTTTATTTTAAATTTCATAATTACATAATTTATATTATATGATATATGTTAGTGTATTCTGTATTATACATTTTATACATTTTATATTTTTAATATTATGTATTATGTATCATGTAACATGTACTTTAGTTCATGTATAACATATTACACATTACATATTATATATCATGTATGTTTTGTATATTATGTATTATGTATTTATTATGGCTGTTTTTTACATGTTCTATTACTGTATATGTTGTGATTATTTGTATATGTTTTATTATTCACAATTAAACACATATCTCAACATTCAAGAATTCTTTGCGTCTCTTTTGGTTCCAGTGTGCTGGGGAACTGGTTGTCTATCCATTGCTGCCTCCATTCCGGAAATTCCAGCTTGTTGTTACAAATTTGGCAGATATATGAAGATTATGAAAATGTATGAACATGTATGAAAATGGCATTTCTGCATGTCCAATGTTGTTCAGCCCATTGGATTTGGTATGATTCTTTCATTGCCAGCAGAAAGAGTTCAGGATCCTGGGCTCTGCTCGTGTCTGCCAGCTGCAGCGTTGGGGTCCTGGTGTCTTGTACCTCCCGGAGGCACGCTGGGAACAGCTTAGTGGATCTTAGTGGCATCCAGTGGCATCAAGTTTTCGAGGTTTTGACTTGTGCTATTCTTGGCAGGTGCAGCTTGCAACTACTGAAGGGGGGGTAAGTGGCTCAGTTGGTCTGTACATTTTTTCACCCTTCGGTTGAGGTGGTCTCTGTCAGCCGTTCGGGCCTCTTCCCTCTGTTTGCTCAATGTCTCAGAGGTGAGAATGTCATGATTCTCCATGCAGATTGCTTTCGTATCATTTCGTATCGACCCACGTTGCCAGAGGTTTTGAACGCAAAGTACGGAGTCATCACCTTTCGAGATCTGCTTCTGGATTTGGAGAACTGGTCATCTCTCTACATCGCCGGGAGGACCGGCCACATGTGCTGTTAAGATCTGTTAAGATTAGAGCGGATCTTTTGCCGTTCTGTTGATCTTGTTTTTTTCAGTGCATATATTAGTCACACAAAATATTCAGCAAACACAGCTAGTGATGCAGGTTGCAGAAACCGTTCGTCCACAACTGGTACAGCGATGAGGAAGACAATGAAGACATTTTTGACGCTGCCGTAGCCACTTGGCTGAAAAACGTCAGTTACAGGTTCGAAGTGCGTTCAAATATATTTGAAAGGTGAGCCAGCTGTCGCACCTGTGGGCATGCCTGAAGGATTCTTTTAACGTTTTGTATCAAGTTCTGTATGTTAGGTTATGGATGATTATGGATGGTTCTGGGAAAGCTGTGAAAGTCTAAATCTGGGCTGTGGGTTCCTTCCGTTGACTGCGCCACGTTGGAGGGCCCATGGCGCTGTAGATGAAGTCTTGCCAACCATACAAAGACCAGAAACGCAGTTGGTTATAAGTGTGTGCAGGTGCAGAATCGTCGTGCTGCATTAGCCACTGCCCTGCTGAGTGCCGGGCAGGATACTTTGGATGTGTCAACTCTGCTGGCATCAGTAGGGGTGGCATGTTTCGAGTGAGTCTGGATGGACATTCAATGAGATTTGCAATGCGCACAAAGCCAGCTGCCGCATTTGCATGGAATGTAATGAAGTCATCGCAGAACAATTTCTAGTCCGCTGGTTCAGAGTTGTTGGTACTTTTGTGTACAGTAGCTGGTTGGGCTCTTCAATTTGCAGGTGGTAGGATTGTCCTACAGCGGCGATATCCGAGTGGGTTTGGCTGAGAACCCCAACAAGGCGATTGGATGGATGCGAGGGGCAAATGTCATCGTTAGTTGGCCTCACACCCAAAGAGGTTTGCCATTGTAGCTATCAAGTGTTGAGGGATGTTGAGGGATGTTGAGAGGCTTCATGTTTGACCCATACTGACTTGAGCATACTTGAGCAAAAGCCGGAACAAGGAGATTGAGTGCTCAGCGTTCCCCCTCAACTGTTCGGTGGGTGGAGTCTTGAATGACTTTCCAGCAAACTATTCAATTCCAGATATTCCAGTGATGAGTTTGGTTGCTGGCCACAATTCCGCCAAATTAGTGGTGCCCGCAGCAAACTACTCAATTCTCCCAAAGTGGTAGTTTCTGCATGTTTCTGCGTCTTGAACGTCATGAAGTAGTGTCAAGATGATTCCAAGGGTTTGTGAAAGTGACTTGTTGAGGTCAGCAACATTGTCAATGCGCAGAATCTTGGCTGTGTTTGGCTGAGTCAAATGTCTAGGAACCTGCAACGGTGTTCGTCGATATCTGATGGGCTACCTTCTCAGTTGTTCAATGCATATGCTTTGCGTTGAAGGGTTTAGGGCTCGATTTGGGGATTAGAAATAACTCAATCTGGCACACAAACCTTGCTCACATCAGTTCGAGGAAAGACATTTTGTGGTCAATTTACCGTCCACTGGCAGAAGAACTCGAAGTGGATGTTATGGAGGCTGGATGTTTTCCTACGTGGATCTAGTCACCGGGCTTGGGGCATGCTTGGAAGATCGTGGAAGCCAACCAGACAGTACCAAACTGGAATTAGTTTTTGCATTGCAAGATACCTCAAGTACTGAGGCTGCGGCGTGGCTCCAATCAAAAACTAGAGCCTGGCCTCAATAAAATCCAGTAGTATATAATTAGTTACAGAAACTAATAATGGAGATTGACAAACACATGCAACAATGGTCAAGGACGCTTGATTTGGGAGAACCTCAGAAAACTCTACTTCAAAGTGGGTGTAGGCAGACATGTCTCCAACATTCAAAATGTAGCAAAGGCATGACCAAGCAAGGTGCACAAACACGCTCCCATGCGAACATACTAAATCGCGGACACGACCATTGCGAGAGTCTAAGTCTCTCCCCATTTCCAGAACGTCTGGCATGAATTCAGCAAGAGGAAGAGCAGATGGTTTGTGTGAAGGCATTTCCAAAGAATGATAGGTACTGTACACTGCACACACAAACTACATCAAACTATATATATATACATTTTTCTTAAGACCAGTGAGATTCAAAGTGAGATTCAAAGTGAGATTCAAAGTGAGATTCAAAGTGAGATTCAAAGTGAGATTCAAAGTGAGGCCACGCTGAACGATGGATTGAAGGGTGTGGTGCACTTTGACGCTTCGCTCTCTGGACGCCGTCGGCTTTTTACAGCTCTGCCAGAAGCTGTTCAGAAGGCATCAGAGGCGGAACATGGTGGAAATTGGATTTCAGTGGGAGCCTGCAGCCTTTAGCCACTAGAGCCTACTATAGCCTCTCACTTCCTTCAGCTTCCTTTGGTTTTAACGAATCTTTATTGAACTTTATTGGCTCTGATGTCCCAGTTGGGGCAAGCAGTTGGGGCAGCAAAGATGAACACCTGGAAGTGAAGCCCAGTTTTTCAGGAGTTTCAGGGAGGGATATGTTTTTTCATTTTCTATTTGTTTAAAGTGTTTGTGTATGCCTTTGCGACTTAACTTTTGTGACTGTTGTTTTCTCGGTGTCTTAGCTTCTTAGCTTCTGTTGTTTTGGGTTTCTTGGGTTCTTGGCCTTTTGGTTTTTGTGGTTTCTTTGGCAGTATGCTGCAACTATTGTGTAGTAAACGTGTAATACATGAATTAGACGGAATAAAATGCCAACAATAATGTTAAGAAAGACGAGATCCAATATGAAATGACATAAACAAAAGCAGGAATGTTGGTACAAAGTGCTGCAAATATCAGTAAGATACTTCAGCACCAAAATGCTGCAAGTACAGTTCCGATCAGACATCCCAAATGCGATATTCTGCAAGCTTTGTGCAAATACAGCAACAAACTAAAAGCTTTAACAAACTGTAAAGACCTAGAACGACTCTGAACCCACTGAATTAATCAAATCTATAGAAACTCCAATCACATCCTAAACTCTAAATCACCCCCTAACCAACCCTAAACCAACCCCAAGTAAAATCGAAACCAATTTTAAATAAACACTAAATAAACACTAAACCAACCCTAAACAAACATAAACAAACCATAAACCATAAAACCAACCCGAAATAAACACGCAATCAATCAACCCATAAAAACTAAACCGGTCTCAAATAAACCTTTAACCAACCTTATCCCTAAATCAACGCTCAGTAGACCCTCAATCAACCCATAAATCATAAGCCAACCCTAAAGAAACCCTAAATTAACCCTAAACAAACCATATAGAATCAACCCTATATATATATAAAGATCTTAAATCACCCATAAATCAACCCCAAACAATAAATAGAACCCTAAACCGACTTTAAATACGCACTAAACCAATCCTCTAAGTACAGATTCTAGCTGATTCTCGCTCAAAATGTCCAGACACGCTGTCAACGAGAGATTAAGGTCAAAAGGCTGCACATACCGTCCAAATTAGCGACTTTCGCTTCCAAAATGCTGCAAATAACTTGCAAATGAGAGATTCTGCAGCCGTTTTGAGCCAAATAAAAGGATATGTTTGCATATGTTTGAATGTTCAGCAGGATTTTTTGAGACTTTTGTTTGATACACAGTACAGGTAGTGGTTCAGAAAAAATGAGAACCTGGCAATGAGACCTCAGACATCTTCAGACCAATGTCAGATTGGAATATATAACATTATAGAATGGGCTAGCGCCCGGGTGCCGCCGACCCCCCTATTGGGGGTGGTCTGGTAGAGAGAGAGAGAGAGAATCATTGCGCTTAGAATTGTGATGGTCGCCGACATGTGCTGCAGTCCTCATGCTCAAAGTTGACCCGACATCTCTGGGTTGCTATGCCCCCTCCCTGCTTGACATGCTTTCGCAGGCGTGGAACCAGTATGTGGTTTCATCCCCTTCACCGTGGTTTCGTTGAAGGATGTTTAAGGCGAAGGGATGATATTGGTTGAAAACCATAATTTTCAATGGTATACATCCCATGAAATACCGTCACATACCAATAAACCCCATGAAATCCCATTAAAATCCATTAAATATTATAACACATCTGACATATCTCCTTTCGACGACAACGCCCCGAAAGTCCGATGGAAATTGGCCAAGCCATGATTGAAATCAACGAGCACCTGGGGCTGTGCATTGGGCGGGGCGAGAGCCTGGATTCTGCCAGTGTGTTTGCAACTTCGAAGTCGCAAAACACATCTGAACGAACTCTGTTTGGTTGATCTATGTTGATCTGTTGGCCAAGTTGCGAGTTGCGATGTTTCTGCGGGTTCCCTTTGTTTTGGCAAGCATGGTTGCTTTCACTGGAAGCTGAGCTCTTGGGAAGCTGTGGAACCTCATCGATTCTAGATCATATGTATAGCGATTCTGTGGGGTTGCCGCGACGCACATTTCTTCGTTTAAATGATTAGATGAAGTTTAAGATATTCAGTGTATCGCATCCACAGCATCCACAGCAGGCTCCTATCCTGTTTCTGGACATGTGCAGTGCTCACCTGGACTCCATTGATAATGGTGATATGGAGGGCTTGCCTCATTCAGGAAACATCACTCTGAAATCCAATAGACATCTCAAGAAGCTGGGTAGCTGTTTTTTTTTAGATTTGAAACTTACCCTTTTTGGGCTCCCGTTTCTTTTTCTTTTTTCCAAAGGTTGAGCCTTGGCGTTTTGATGGGACTTGAAACAACGGCTTCTTACCATGGAAAACTATGCCCAGAAGAAGCCATTGATGTGTGGCCTCGGGGTGGCTGTTGGCTGCAGGATGAAGCATGCCAAGTCAGCGTTTTAAGGTTTTTAAGGGTTTGGAGCGTTTGGAGGGTTTTAAGGGTTTAAGGGCTGGCAAACGGCAGGCTTGGACGCCCATAAGAGGGCTGGCAAACGGCAGGCTTGGACGCCCATAAGAAGCCATTGATGTGTGGCCTTGGGGTGCCTGTTCGCTGCAGGATGAAGCATGCCAAGGGATTGTTTAAGCGGCCCAGAAGAAGCCATTGATGTGTGGCCTCGGGGTGGCTGTTGGCTGCAGGATGAAGCATGCCAAGTCAGCGTTTTAAGGTTTTTAAGGGTTTGGAGCGTTTGGAGGGTTTTAAGGGTTTAAGGGCTGGCAAACGGCAGGCTTGGACGCCCATAAGAGGGCTGGCAAACGGCAGGCTTGGACGCCCATAAGAAGCCATTGATGTGTGGCCTTGGGGTGCCTGTTCGCTGCAGGATGAAGCATGCCAAGGGATTGTTTAAGCGGCCCAGAAGAAGCCATTGATGTGTGGCCTCGGGGTGGCTGTTGGCTGCAGGATGAAGCATGCCAAGTCAGCGTTTTAAGGTTTTTAAGGGTTTGGAGGGTTTGGAGCGTTTGGAGGGTTTTAAGGGTTTAAGGGCTGGCAAACGGCAGGCTTGGACGCCCATAAGAAGCCATTGATGTGTGGCCTTGGGGTGCCTGTTCGCTGCAGGATGAAGCATGCCAAGGGATTGTTTAAGCGGCCCAGAAGAAGCCATTGATGTGTGGCCTCGGGGTGGCTGTTGGCTGCAGGATGAAGCATGCCAAGTCAGCGTTTTAAGGGTTTTAAGGTTTTAAGGGTTTGGAGGGTTTGAGGGTTTTTTAAGGGTTAAGGGCTGGCAAACGGCAGGCTTGGACGCCCATAAGAAGCCATTGATGTGTGGCCTTGGGGTGCCTGTTGGCTGCAGGATGAAGCATGCCAAGGGATTGTTTAAGCGGCCCAGAAGAAGCCATTGATGTGTGGCCTCGGGGTGGCTGTTGGCTGCAGGATGAAGCATGCCAAGTCAGCGTTTTAAGGTTTTTAAGGGTTTGGAGGGTTTGGAGCGTTTGGAGGGTTTGGAGGGTTTTAAGGGTTTAAGGGCTGGCAAACGGCAGGCTTGGACGCCCATAAGAAGCCATTGATGTGTGGCCTTGGGGTGCCTGTTGGCTGCAGGATGAAGCATGCCAAGGGATTGTTTAAGCGGCCCATAAGAAGCCATTGATGTGTGGCCTCGGGGTGGCTGTTGGCTGCAGGATGAAGCATGCCAAGTCAGCGTTTTTAAGGTTTTTAAGGGTTTGGAGGGTTTGGAGGGTTTTAAGGGCTGGCAAACGGCAGGCTTGGACGCCCATAAGAAGCCATTGATGTGTGGCCTTGGGGTGCCTGTTGGCTGCAGGATGAAGCATGCCAAGGGATTGTTTAAGCGGCCCAGAAGAAGCCATTGATGTGTGGCCTCGGGGTGGCTGTTGGCTGCAGGATGAAGCATGCCAAGTCAGCGTTTTAAGGTTTTTAAGGGTTTGGAAGCGTTTGGAGGTTTGGAGGGTTTTAAGGGTTTAAGGGCTGGCAAACGGCAGGCTTGGACGCCCATAAGAAGCCATTGATGTGTGGCCTTGGGGTGCCTGTTCGCTGCAGGATGAAGCATGCCAAGGGATTGTTTAAGCGGCCCAGAAGAAGCCATTGATGTGTGGCCTCGGGGTGGCTGTTGGCTGCAGGATGAAGCATGCCAAGTCAGCGTTTTAAGGTTTTTAAGGGTTTGGAGGGTTTGGAGCGTTTGGAGGGTTTTAAGGGTTTAAGGGCTGGCAAACGGCAGGCTTGGACGCCCATAAGAAGCCATTGATGTGTGGCCTTGGTTTGCCTGTTGGCTGCAGGATGAAGCATGCCAAGGGATTGTTGAAGCGGCCCATAAGAAGCCATTGATGTGTGGCCTTGGGGTGCCTGTTCATGCCAAGTCACCGTTTTAAGGTTTTAAGCGTTTTAAGTTGTAAGCGTGGTCAATGATTTGAACTGCTACTACAGGAATGCGGGAACGGCTGCTTTGGGCTTGAAAGACAAAACCTTCAGACAAAACCTTCCGGAGTAAAACTTACTTGCCCAAAGCATGTAATTTTCATGTCCAAATGCCTGGAAGTCTTAATGGAGGACGAAGCATGCCAGGAAAATGTTTACGCGATGTGGCCTTGGGGCAGCATGGGTTTGACCTTGGAAAGCGAAGAAGGAGAAGTTCCACACCTGCGGTGGTCCCAGGCGCCGCCCCTGCCTTGGCCAAGGCCGGGGTCGGCGGATATACATATATTATAGATATGAGTAACCAGCAAAATTATTGTAATATATACTAATAATACCAATTTAGTCTTGCTTCGCCTTGTCCTTGCTGGGGTGTGTGCAAAACCTTCACTACCGACAGGGGACGACCCTATACCGATACCCCTGCTTTGCATGAGTTGACTCAAAGTCTGAGAATGCAGAAATCCTCACTACCGATAGGGGACGACTCCAATTTACGCATGGCATGAAAATGAACAAGTAATTTTGTCCGCTATCTGTATACACAACTCGTTTTTGAATTGATTGTCAGGATTCATAAACTGATTCCTTTCAAGTGAGGTTAAGGACTGTTAAGGCTTCCAAGTTGGACTGGATGAAATTCTGGCCCCTAACGTGTCCATATACGGTTTGTTCATGTCTTGAACTGGTCACGTTGCTCTCCATTCAGTGAGGCTGCTTTCAGAAAGTTGACGGGTAGAACCAGGATTTTGGCAATCACATTTCAAACCAGTTTCACACAAGTTCTTCGATCGGAAAAAAACAAACGGTTGGCCCTGGAACTTCATGCAATGAACATTGAAACTGCCTTGCAAAATCCGTTGTCCGTCATCAAGACAGGAGAATGTGGCAACGAAATTTGAAACTGTTGTCAACGCGAACCAGATCGCAACAAAAAAAGCAGAAATCAATTTCCAGATCATTTTTAGATAAATCCTTCCTTCTTCCTGAGCAGCTTCATCATCTTGGTCAACTGGTTTGCACCACAGACAGTTTTCATCTCAAATTCCACTTTCGAGTTGCATGAAAATTAGGCGTTGGGGACAAAGGTCTTCATTTTGAGGACCCTCTGTGGAACGCAAATAAACACCAAGGTCAGTTTACTCCTTTTCATGTTTATCAGCACCAGACCCCGGCATTTATCCCGATTTATTGTATGGCTCAGCAGGGATCTTTTGCTAGCTGGCTGAAGCGCGCAGCCTAAATCATTTGAATTTCGAGTGTTTTTCTAGTTGGGGTCAGTGTATAGAAGTATCCAGGCTCAGCGACACTGCTTCGTTCCAGCATGGGTTTCAGAATGGGGCCCGTTGCGGCTTTCCAGCCGGTTTCTTTGCAAGTTCGTCAGGTTTTGTCTCTTGTATCGTCAGGGATATGAGGAGCCCTTTGGCCTCCCACTTCGTCGCACTCTTCAAGCCACTGTGCGCCGAGCTTCCATGCAGCAAGCGGTAAAAGGTGCGGAATCTCGAGCTACGTTGAGCGATGTCAAGTTCACCTGGCACACCAAGTGTCAAAGAAAAAAACCTGGCATTGCAGGGAGTATGTCACCCCAGTCGCAATCCAGGACATCAAGTTTAGTATCATCCCTTTAACTTGATGTCCTGGGTTGCGATCTGTGTGATTCAGTAGCAACAGCAATTGCTGAATGTGTAAGACAAGTTGAGCGCCTTTGCAGATGCCGCCGATGTCCCGACAAATGCGGCAAGGTGTTTTGAGCTCAGGCGCTTCCAGAAGTTTGCGCTATGCCCTGGCCTCAGCATTGGAGATTCTGCAGTCATATGAAATAGGCATAGGCGACATAGGGCTTTGATTATCATACTTTATTAATCTTTATCATGCGTTATCATCCTGATGCTCAGGTGTTGCAAAAGGTAGCCAAGAGCATTCGGTAGCACTTCGACATTGCAGCCAAAGATGAGCTGTGAAAAAGACCTTCTTCGGCAGCAGAGGGAAAGCAGAATATGTGTATTTCAGGAGGGCCACGGAGGGCCCACTAAATAGCTGCCAATCCCAAGTTAGGCAGCAAAGTAGTCAGGAGTGTCCTCAAATGCAGCTTTTGGCAGCTTACCATTTCTGGATAGGATTTGGGGCCGTGAAATGTGCGTTGTTTTGGCTTTCTGGATTTACGTGTTGTTTTGCACCTCCTTGTGCTCTGGCTCTACCGTACCGCGTTCTTTGTGGGACCTTGCAGGGGGCTTGAGGCCGAGGCTCCTACGGTGCAAGATGTAGGGACCATAAACCCAAACATGAAATCACATTGAATTTTTATTTGTACACTAATGTTCAATAGAAGGAAATCATAGGAGAACTCTTGGAACTTGAGCCAACATTAGGAGAAAACATGTTCATAATGAGCAACCCATGTTCATTCGTTTTGAAACACCAAACCTTTTATTAGCCTCTCAGCGACCAGGTGCCTCCAATTCGGCGCATGAACTCTATGGAAGCATGGTCAACAAGTTGTGGTTTGAAATCCCAGAAGCATTGCGGGCTGCAGCTTTTGGCATCGATTGCTGTGCTGAGATGCTTGAATATTTCTTGAACATGCTTGAATCAGAGTCGGAAGAGTCATCAGAGTCTTGGTATGTCTTGATGGCTCTGGTCGTTTTGGTCATGCTTGATGCCGCCTGTGGCGAGGGAAATACTGGAAGTATTTGAGCACATTTAGATACATTTAGTAGTAACATGTAGTAATACCAGATATATCCAGATATGATATGCAAGGAAATTAGGAATTTGATGGAGTCAACTTGCAGCTGAGGCAATCGGTGTTCCAATCCCAAGTGCCCTCGGCAAGGTGAAGCTGAGGCACGTGGGTAACTCGAAACACCAACACCAAGGCACTATGAGGCATGGTAAAGAAAAGGTAAATCAACAGTCCTTAGTCCTTCTGCACATGAACAGAAAAGTTATAAACAGCCTATCCTTGGCGTTTCTTTCCATGGTTTTCTGTATGTTTTTGATTTCTTTGGACATGGCAAAACCACAGCCAGAGAGCTGCAGGCATCGCTAGAGTGTAGATGTGGAGAATGCTTTTGCACAGAAGCGTGGGAAGCTTAGCTATCTTAGCCCCGCTTTTGAAGGATCTGGCAGCTGCCACTACAAGTATTTTGTCGGATCACGCCGGATCATGAATGCTAGATATCTACATCATACATACATTCTACATACTAAATTGCTGAAAATTCACCGGCCTTGTCCAAAAACTTATGACATCTTACAACTTGACATTGCGTGGCGGGGCATTGACCTGACCTCAGCTGAACGTGCAGGTCGGATCAAGTGGTTCAACATGTTTCAACATGTTTCAACATCTCTTCATGGCCTTTAGGGTATTGAATCGGAATGAACAGAATGATCAGAATGAACAATTGGACCACTTGGAGGAGTTCAGTTGGAAAGACTCTAGGCCCTAATTTGTGCTGCGATGTGCTAGGCTTGCAAGTGAAAACGTCTATCATTTGTTTGCAAAGGCACGCCCAGCATACCCCACAATGCTGCAGGGGCTGTGGCTATTTCCATTAGATGGAAACGGTCGTATTTTGGTATGCTGACCTGGGAATGACGCTGTGATTGCATGGAAATGTGGAGAAACCAGGGACAAGCCGCCAGAGGTATTCTGGGCAATAAAAAGAATTGTTTGAAGGAAATTGTTGAATGATGCGATCTGCAAAAGTCAAACGTTATAATCAAATCTGACTCTGCTGCAAATTTGCCTTAAATTTTGGGAACCCATGCCTGATTTCTTAATTTGGTCACATCTATGGATCTACAGGATTCCTGTTGCATCCACTTGCCATCACAAGCATCTCACCAGCATCTCACAAAAGCAAAGCAGTGCGGAGCTATCTGCAGCTATGTGGAGATGCTGTGGAGCTAGAGCAGGCTGATGAGGCATGCAGCAAGGACTTGCAGGCAACTAGTTCGAGCCCATAGCTGCCATAGCTGGTGATGTTCGCACCGCCACAAGCGGCGCAAGCGGACAACTTTTGCCAAAAGGCCCCTTGATGTTTGATAATTTTGATAAAAGTAGCAACAGCATGCAACAGCCATCAAGATTCCAACAATTTTGGAGCAGAACAATAAGAGAAACAAGAAACCTGCAAAAACCAGCCCAGCTCTGTTTGGCCTGTCCATTTCTTGAAGAACTAATAAGCATAATATAAGCCAGAGACTCCAAACCAAGGTGCTGGATCCAATTCTGGCACGCTGGGCATCAGGCTTTGTTGAGCGTGTTTGAGATCAAGATGTACAATTGTGTAAAGTGGTGTGCAACAGACGTAATTATATACTTATTGCACATACAATGTACGTAACTTACGTCGTACATGTTTGTTTGACTCTTGTTTGGAATTGTTCGCCCCAACCCGGAAGTTGCTCCACACTTACAATCGTCATGATCATGATCATGATCATCATCATCATCATCATCATCATCATCACATCATGATCAATGATCATCATTACATTGAAACTCGCCATCCCCTCTGAACATTTTGTTTGGTTGGGGTAATAACATCAACTATATCAACTTTATCTCCATGAGGGATCCAAATTCGCCACCCCCTATGAACAATATGTTGATTGGGGTAATAACATCAACTTTATCTTCATAAGGGATCAACATTTGCTACCCCCTATGAACAATATGTTGATTGGGCTAATAACATCAACTTTATTTATCGGGGTTGCAGCGGAATTGTTTACACTAACATGTTAATGGTTTGCCTGCGTAAGTGCTGCGTGTTTCCATGCTTCCCTGTTTCTGTGTTTGTGCTGCGTGTTTGCTGTGTGCATGAGCCTGTATGCGTGCCGGTGCCTGAGCCTCTGTATGTGTGTGTATATTATTTGTGTCTGTGTCGTTGCGATTGTGTTTGTGTTTGTGTTGTGTGTTGTGTTTGTAGATTTTGCTTCAATTGTAATTAGCAGATTGGCACAGATTAGCAGATTCGGATTTCTGTCAAAGGAAAAGTAAGTGGCAATTCATGATATGACGGTCATTCTGCTGCGCCAGCATTGCTGCCCACGCGCTCTGGACATCATATCCGCCGCAGCGGAGCACTCCTCCCAGCGACGAGGCTGGAACGGAGTGCTATATTGGAAAAGATGGGAGTGATGAATGATGAAAGTAGCAGGTGAGCAACACAGGCACCACTTCCATACTCTGCTACCCCAAGATAAATGCACTGTTTGGGCATTTCAAGCGTGTATGATGGAGTCAAGCAATAGCCAATCATTGGTTGACCGTATTTTGAACTGACAATTTTTTGCATTAATTACTCCACACAAGTCCGAGTTTGAAGAACAATTTTTCCTCATGCTCCTTATTAAATTTTATGGTGCAACTTGGAGGAGGACATTCTATGACATTCTTGTACTTTGAAGATCTTTGAAGCCTGTTTTTAAAATTTTTGCCGGCTTCCACTTCTTGTATTTGCGTGATTTTGCGTGTACGTGTGTGTTCCTGCCCACAATATCGATGTGGAACTCTCGGACTCTGTGTTCTTATGCCAAGATATGCCAAGCGACAGTTGCTCAGGTGCTGCCCTCTTGGCCAGTACGGCCTTGACTCGCAGGAGCATTGCGCTGCACCACAATGCCAAGACGATTCACTGCAGACTATATATGACTATATCACACGAGCAAGAATCGATTTAGCAACCACCACGACACAAAACCATGCACGTTTGCGGATGGTTGTCTCATGCCCGTAGGAGGACAGAAAACTGCAATGACACCAGCCAGGCTAGCAGATTGATTTCCCATGGGTCCCATGATGTGCCATTCTTCTATCCAGGTCCTCTTTGTGCTAATGATTTGAGTGCTTCAAAGATAGAGAGCTCTGAGCATCTTTGAACAATTGGCATGATGTTGAGATCAACTGTTGAACTTTCTAAAACGAAGCCGTGAGATCCAAGTACTTGCAATCACTCATCTCACAAACCCTACCTTTGGTGCATGATGCATGCGACTTTTAGGTGCAAGCACAGCCGAACTTGCAGCTGAACCAGAGCAGTCGATTTCGACGTGCTTTTAGTCAAAGTATCAGCCTTGTGCATTGCATATTGCGAAGCACAGGATGATAAAAGATGTAATGATTAAACAAAAAAAACATGTTTGCGTTTGAACTTAACATTTCAATCCGTTGCCATCCGACTTTGCTGTCAATACTTGAGCTTTGTTATTGAACTGCAATTGTGCGAGCATGTGCGAGCTATGTTGCACAACATGTTGTAACCAGACCGAAGTTGCCGACGTGGTGTCGACCGCACCATGAGGCAGCAAAGCGTCTTCGTGGGTCTCGCTAGCTGAAGCAGAATCCCTCCCGGATCCAGACGATGTGCGCCATGAAATGTTGTGAGCTTTGTGCATCGTTCTTCTGGTACTTGAGATGTCAGATTTTGATAGACTTGGGCATTACAGATCCGGTTTGTTGATTGTGTTCAGTAGATGCGTAATCATCTTTTTTCACTGTCGTTTCAACGCTTGTCTGAATCATTTTCACCTTCGTCAATCTGAGAATCTTGCATCATCATCTTGTATCATCTTGTACCAGACATTTCAATCATTTCATGGCTGATCAACAGGATGCAGCAGATTTAAAGACGTATTCGAAACTAATCGCCTTGTTTTGATACGACAGGGCTCATGTCCGTGCAATTGCACCACTGATGACTTCGAGCTTGTGGCGTGGATCTTGGTGGGTCTCAGAAATATGCTACAGTACTGCTACTAGTAGGTTTTGCTATACTCTGTCTGAGTCAGAAGTGCTTGCGTTCAGATATGTACTGTAGTGACATGTAGTGACATGTAAGTGACTATAGTGCTATATTGTGCTTTGTTGTGGGGTAGAGCTCGGTTGATCTCTTGGATCCAAACTTCGTTTGCTGGGCATTGCTGGGCTCATGGTGACCCATGGTGCAGGCAACTCTGGGTGCAGGATCGTGTGGCACTGTCGCAAAGGTCTCTCACAAATTCACGGGTGAGGTGCGATGTGCAGTGATCCCGATCCCATGGACTCCAGGTGTCTAATTTTTAAAATGTTTCTTAATATTTGTTCTATATCTATAACATTTCTATAACTATATATGAGAATTATTGTCTAATATCTTCTCATCTTGTTCCAACGTCTTGCGATCATTGGAAATGTACTTAAGTCATGTTACGAAGTTCTTTGATGCCAGCCTTTTGCAGATCTTTGCGCTCAAAGCCATCCAGCAGCGGTGGGTCAAAGAGAAGCACCTGGAAGAGTATGTCGAAAGAGAGGCTTTGTTTGCAGCAGCCCTGTTCATAATGTCTTGTCTTGTCCTGTCTTCTCATAATACTGTATGTCATAGCGGCCATACCTTTTCAATGCTTTTCTTGTCATTTCATATCATGTAATTATTATATATTATTATCGCAGTCCATCGATTTTCAGTTGCAGCGATTAAACCATTCGGAACCTTTAAAGTAGCACAGTGAACCTGTCAGGTTGCAACTCAAAAGCAGCTGAAGCACCCAAATATCGTCAAACTTCATGAACATTTTGAGGAGACGATTGTTTGCTGTCTAGAGGCTTTGCAGGACAAGTGACATTAGACTTCACACCACTTGACACCTGTGTGACCTGGATTTTGAGGCTGAACTTTCTTAGTGTTTGGTTCTGGTGAGAGCTCCAGGATGAGGAATATGTTTACCTGCTGCTGGAGTTTGCCACAGACTTAGCACGAAATCCCTTTGGTGCTCATGGCACTCTGTTTCGAGCAGAAAGAAAAGCAAAAACTCCGTCCTTCAAAAACAATGGGAAGTTCCACCAAAGTGTAGCAGCCTTTCATGTGAAAAATACAAATTGAGGCTCTTGAAGATGAATCATTGAAGTATGCCAATGTGGATTACACTGATATACATAATACACGCATAATCACATATCTATATACTGTATATATATATATACATATCTCATCAATCTATCATTCCTGGCAGAGCGTTGAATGAGACGTACTAAAATTACTAAAAACTGAGAGGCTCCTGACGGCTCCCTCTACAGCAAGATCCGCGCGCAGCATTGTTTGGCACACGCGGAGGCCAAGCAGCGAGCACAAAACAAACCTGGTATACAAATGTATACAGAGTTTGCACAGTCAGTGGTTGAATCATGTTGAATCGCTTCCTGCAGCCAATCGAGGAAAGGAAACAGGAGGAAACACTGGAAGCACTTCACGACAGAAGTGCGGCGAAGTCTGCATTTTGTCCATTGCTGGCTTGCAGGCAGCATCGATCTTCGTTGACGTCTCGGAGGCTTTAGTGCATTTGCACAGGCGTGGCATAGCAGATGCTTAGTGGATACTACTGCAGAAAGACCTGTCCATTTCTTTACATTTCCGGTGCTTTGAATTTGTATAAAGCGGGAAATTCTAAGGTCAAATCTTCCGTCAACATTGCATAGATTGTCATTGATAGCCTTGATACTCCATTGCTTTACGCCGCTCTAGTGGCCTCTCTGCGTCGTTTGTCCATGAGAGACTCAAAGGCAATGATTGGAACATTCACATAGGCCTATGAAGAGGCTACTTTGATACTCATGACTCATGCCCAATAGCGTTGCGTTTAGAAAGCCTTGACACCCTGACAGTACAAGTAACACACGATAGATTCCCAATTTTGTTGACATATGATATCTTTATCTGGTTTTACATGTGGCTTTCGCGCCACATGAGCTGTTCTGCCTTGTGCCTCTGCCATGTCGACTCCCAAATTCGGCTTTTTGCATCGACTCTGCTTGAGCCGAAGGCAAGTGATCGTCGCAGCCAGTGCGGCTGAGGCTGAGGAAAGATCTTCTCCAAGCCAGTCGGCACCTGAGCTTGGAGAGCCACCTTCAAAGTTTAGAAAACGGAACAAAGAAGATCTCGGGAAAGAGCTGATGGACGAAAGGAGTTCGCGAGAAAAGAAGGGAGAACGCCGAGAACGACGAGAACGCCAAGAAGCTGACTCGGAGAACTTAGCGAGGCAATTTGTCGAAGCTGGAGACATCAACGCAGAGACTGTGCTGAAAGTCTTGCGTGCAACTGATATCCCACTGAACACAACGCGGAAGAATGTTCTTCCAGATGGCGTTGATGCTGTGAGGGGCATGCTGCTTGGTTTCTATGCTCTGGCTGGAAACATTGGCATCACAGATGCTTCCAAGAGTCGTCCTTGGCTTGTGCAACTACTGTCAAGCTTTGCAAGGAAGTCCCACCCAGACTTCGAGTTTACTTCGATTCAAGTAAACAAGAACTATGCCTCTCGTCCACATGTGGACAAGAACAATTTGGGAGAAAGTCTGATCATTGGACTGGGAGACTACACCGATGGAGATATTTGGGTCCATGACCCCGAAGGTGTTGTTCCTTTTGAACTACGAGAGGACATTTCATGCATGTATCACTACGAGGCCGGTGTAACCTACAATGGCTCATGGCTCGACATCCACAACAAGTGGATCCATTTCAATGGGAACAGGCTACACTTTACGCAGCCATTTACAGGAGATCGTTTTACTCTGGTGTACTACACATGCAGTAGATATATGGATGCATCTTCAGAGTTGAGCAGTGTCCTTCGTGCGGCTGGATTCCCGTTCTGCAAGTCCAGTGAAAAGTTGGCAGAAGCTTCGATCTCAAAGTTGGCGGAGAAGAATTTGGAGCACGAGAAGTGGAAGAAACAAATCAGGGATCGGATCCGCAGCGAAAAGGAACAACTGGGAAGATGCCAGGCTAGAACCTGGAATAAGGGCTGGGGTGGAAGCTGTCCACACTTTAAACATGAAGGCAGTGGTGATTTCTGCAAAGGTCACTCGAACGGAAGTTGGAAAACCCATGGAACTATTGATGGGCCTGTTCCAAAGCTGAAGCAGGCAGAAATGTTGAAATTTCAAAAGCAGATGGTGGCTGCAGGAGAAAGGCCTCCCGATCCACTCCCACCTGGAGCTATGATTCTGGTGGAGTGTGGAAATTCATGAAATTCAATGAAATTCATTAGTGTCATGATATCATGACCTGCTGCTTAGTGCAGAAACTGTTTAATGATGGTGGACTCCATGTGTTGGCGCGACCAAAGAACACCCAATTCTTGCACCCGGACTGCGAACATTGGCAAGTTGTTTGCAGATGTTTGCATAAAAGGAGGAGAGAATAGACAAAATAATTGTTTATCAGTTTATCAAATATGCAAAACAGACTATCCATCTGTATCCTGTATCTTCAACTCGCAACTGCTTTGGCTTTAGCTTTTGCTTTTGCCTTTTATAGGCATGGGACTGCTCACCGAGATCTGAAGCCAGAGAATGTGAGAGACTTTGGCTCGAAATGGGCAGAAGAAGCTCAATGCTGTTGCGGCAGGTTCCAGGTGGTGTGTCATTTAGATTGTAACAGATTGTAGCTAATGGATGCTAATGGATGCTAATGGCCCAATGAGGCCGAAGAGACTAAAGAAGCGATAATGAGATGAGATGAACAAACCGCAGTGGTGAAGACTGTGAAGACATGCAGAGCGTAAAAGATGCAAACACATGCGAAAGCAACCGGCAGCTAGTTGGCGCAGACTCTGAGGTGCTTCTTTTTCCTGGCGGTCGTGCCAAGCTAGCAGATTTTGGCTGGTTCGAAGCCGAGATGATTTTAATCCAGCCATTTTGTATCAAGAGCCAGTGCCGTGCATTTCCAATAAATCTTTCTGTGCTTCCGTAAGTAAGTTCAATTTATGATAATTTATGTACCTTCCATTTGTTCCATGCGCACATACACACACAGCACTGACCCGCTGCAGATGTGGATATCGTCTGATACTGTATCCACTTGCAATATCTGCATGAGGTCCCTGGGGGCAAAGCGAATAAGACTTCAGGGTGATGTCAGCATTGGAATTTGCCTTTGAGATCCTTTGAGCCTTTTGAGGTGTGCCCAGCTGACCAATGACGGTCGGAAGACGCAGAGCCACCATGTTTGCCCCGCTGCAAACGACAAGATGGTTTTTAATCTTGAGCAAGACCTGTGCTGGATAACTGCCTCCAGAATGAACATGTCTTAGGTCCTTAGGTGCACTCAGAAAGATGAAAGAACACCGCGGGCAAGCAACACCAGCAGAAAGAATCACAGCTGGGGGTCCAATGGTAATGTGTCCTCAGAAACCTAGCATGACCACAAGCATGGGAAAGGAGGTCACAAAAGTGAAAGGATGCAAACAGGCGCCAGGAAGGAAAGCAATCTAGTGGGAGCAACTTGGGGTAGGCTCTCAACATCTCTCAACAATGATTCTCAGCAATTGATTCTACACTTGTGGTTGCAGGTACTTGCGGAAAGGTCCACTGATGGTGTGAACCTGTAACCTCTACCTAATTAAGCATAATTAAGCCAAACTCTTCCGCTTCACCCATCTTCACCCTGCGACAGAAGTGCCACAACTGGCCAGGTTTTGTGGAACTATGGACTACCTCTCACCTGAAATGGTACAGATGCTCAGTTCATCATATCTACGGCAGTCTACGGCAGTCTCTTGTGACGAAGCCTTTGACCGTATAAATCTCAAGCCAATGGAAAGAGGCCATCAACACATCGAGGGGAAAGCTGCCTTTCAATTGTCTTCCTTTGTCGCTGAGTAAGCTAGCACATCTTTCGAATATATATATATACACATAATATATTATATATATACATATTATCCATCATTATCCTATATTATCGTATATTATGTTATATTACATACTTGTAGTCACCGTAATATTAGTTTATTATTCTGACTTATTCTCATATATTTGACAATAACTGAACAGTTTAGGGGGTGCCACCAGCGACCACTAGTGAAGGCCCATCAAGCATGTGTCATTTGGGGGGTCAACTTTAGGGGGTCGGGTGAATCCCATGAAATTATCTATGTCACAAAGTCATATTCCCGTGATATTATATATAATACATTGTAGTACTGGTATTCGCATTGATATTCGTCTGCAGCTTGACTGGGGAAGTTTGTAACGTCCGCTACATGAGTCTTGAGGTGTCTCAGCAGCCACATGATCATCGGGTCGATGTTTGGGTTGGTGCCTCAATGGTTTCACGAATTGGAATCAGAATTATAACAGATACAACTTACAAGTCATGCCAGTCATGTCATCCTGCACCAGATCGGTGTTGATTGATGAGCCAATTCTTTGAATATTCGTTGCACCACACTTTTTCAGGCACTTGGTGTTTTGCTCTATGAGATGTTGACTGGAGATCCTCCATTTTCCGGCAGGCCACTGAGCGACGTGCTCATTGGATAAAAGGAAACATGATTGAGCCTGATTAAGCTGCATTGGAGTAGGTTCTGACTTCTGACTTTGAAAAAAGAAATTGGTTTGACAGCAAATTCCGCAAGAAGATTCAATCCGAAGCACTATATTGCAATAGTATGCAATTGTCATGCTCAGTTCGGAGCATATGCTGCGTGTGTTTTATGGTGTTATTTCCTGGGCATTCACAAATATGTCCAAATCGCATTGGTACACAGGAGCACTGCCCACATCTTGGAGCGAATTCTCACCGTGGATCTGATTATGCCAGTCTCAATGCCCGAAGGAGCAGTCAGGTTTCGTGATTTTGAAGGTATTTGAAGGTCTGGAGTTTTCACCCAACTTTGTATTGATACCGGGTGTTTGCTTTATATACATGTCACGGGGTCATCGCAAAGATGATTTTGCTGCTGCAAGAAGCCACCTTCACCAAGGCCTTGGAAAGAACTTTGACTTCGGGTCAATTACTGTAGACTCAGTAGATAGGTTTTGCATGGGACCTTTGCATGTGACCTTTGCATGTCTTTGTATTCTTCTTAGGGAAATGTCAGAGAGTCAGAGGGTCAGCACAAGGTCCTCCTCATGCTCTGTACACTCTTTACATCTCTTTGCTGACGCACACACGCACACAGGCCCAGGGAAATTCTACAAAGGTGTTGGTAGTATCTGGTAGTTTGATAGTCGGCAGAAAACATTTCTGTTGCTGCATCCCACCAGGGCAGCATGGTTGCGACGTTCTACACATTACTGACGCACGGTCCACATGTCTGACATTTTCTGACACATGTCTACCACATGTTCGAGTTTCTGAGGAGCTGCAGACTTGATTCATGCTCTGCTGAAGGCGCGATGATTGACGGTGGCAGTGAGAGCTGAGACCTTGTCATATTATGTCACAGAGTCATATATCATAATCACATATATATATTTTCTAAGATTTAAAAGGTATGCTTTCATGTGGTTCTATCTTATGTCAGAAGTTTGTGGCGGTTTATGGTGGCAAGTTTGGTGGCAAGTTCGGTGGCGGTGGCAGTTAGATACGGCAATGTGTGTGGCAGTTTCAGTGGCAATGAAGAGTTGGTGGCAAGTTTGATGGCAAAAATGGGGGCAGCCGTATTTTGGTGGCAAAGGGGGTGGCAACTTTGCATGGCAAAAATTGAGCTGGAAGTTTAGCAATCACATTTTGGCGGCAGCAAAGGTGTCAAAGTTTGATGGCAGCTTCTTGGGAAGAAAAGGTTGCAAACACCTTCAGTGACAAAAGAGGCGTTAAGTGTACATGGCACATGTTGACAGAAAGGGTGTGAGAGACTTTTTGGCGGCAAATGGGGTGGTAGGTTGATGGCAAAAGCGCTGGCAAAATTTGGGGCAACATCAACTCTAGAGAGAGAGAGAGAGCGAGAGAGACGTTGACCAAAATCATGGCAGCCCTATTGCGCCTTCAACGGAGGCAACACCCACCGACCCTATGAATAAAACACGACGCCAAGCAAATATGAGCAAATATGATAGGCGGCTGGCATGTTCTTTTCAACAATCCCTTCGCTGGTGGTGCAAAAGCAGCTTCAGCCCACCGCACACTTATCCTTCAAGACAATCTGCAGTAGTTTTTGGTTGCCATATGTTGCCATCATTGCCCGTCAAAAAATAAGGCCTATTTTTGCCAAAAATAATTAATGCTTATTTCTACAAAAATCGACCTTATTTCTTGACGGGCGGCAGGTGGGCAGCTCCCTGGGCAAAATGTTGCTCAACTCTTTTTCTGTGCCCCGCCAGCATGGCACAACGTTCCAATATGGCTGAGGCACAGAAAACCACTTGACCAAAACACAACCGAAAGGCAATTGCTGACCAAGTGAACTGTAAGCACACCAATTTCTGAGCACGAAGTTTGATCATTTCACACCACAACCATCTGATTGAAAATTGCCATATGCAAGGCACAATTTCAGAAGCTGCTTGTGCAAGCCAACGGGCACATACAGTATCATGTGGCCATGCAATGTGCCGTCTCGGTTTGTTTTTCCCAATGATTTCCCACTTACGCGTCCAGTCTTTAGCCCTTGCCACAATTTTTTCCATAGCTTTGCCACATGCGTTGCCATTGCTTTTGCCTGCAATGCAAGTTTGCCCTTTCGTTGCCACATGTGTTACCAAGGGCTTTTGCCCGCAGCCCTGGTTTGGCCAATGGATGTGCCGCACGTGTTTTTACCCCAGCCGCATATTTGCCAGTGTTTTTTGCCACCAATGTTGCCGTTACCTTTGCCCCCGTCGGTTTTTTCCATTCATGCTGCCCTGCAAATTGCCAAAACCATTGCCACTGCCATTGCTTGTGCCCTCAAGGTTTGCCATGGTTGTTGCCATCAAATCTGGGCGCCTCATAGAGCATTGTTCTTAAATTTTAGATAACATATATATATATGTATATAAATACATACATACTGCAAGCATCACATACATTCACACATGTGAATGTATAATATATCATTATTTGATTATTAGTGACTGTCCAATCAGCAGACCATTTTCCATCGCTTTTCGTCTCTTTCTTTTCGACATTGTCTTCATTGATTTTTTCTGTTGATTTCTGCATCAGGGCTGCTGATGGATCGTGGAAGGGTGCTGATTCAACAATTCCGGTTGCGGCAGGTAGATCCGGGAGAACGACTTTCACTGAATGCTGCCTTGAAATGGCCATGGCTTCAGGCCACATGACAAACCTTTGACAGAAAATCCATAAACCAAATAATGTGTGAATTGATGTGAATTGTCATTCAATGCGTCTGTAGATTCGTTCATTATCCTGTAGTTGCTGCTCTGAGTCTATCAATTCAATGTTTAGGAAGGACATCGCGTTCAGGACGGTGTAGGACAACATCATGGTGATGGCCAAAAGCCACAACCCAAGAGTATGAGCCAGAAGTTCAAAATTTACTGGCATATCGCTCATGGTGAGTCGTCGCACAGATAGTCTTGTTCCATTTGTTTCATGTGTTCATTTCTCCAACAAGCAGGACATGCGGACCGATCCTTTAGAGACGGATGAGGAGATGTTTGAACCTTAGATTTCCATCAATGGTGGCAATTGCAAAAGGCTGGTGCGGTCAACTGATCAGAGAGGTCTGGGGTCAGGAGAAACGCCAACTTCACAAATCTTCACAATAGTTTATGAAGATTTATGAAGTATTGCATTGCACTTTAAATATATCTTTATACGCCACCGCTGAAGGGGGAGGACTGAACGACTCTCATTCATGAATATCAACCAATCCCGTAATAGCCTCAATAGACTTCGGGTTGGCCCATGGACTGGATATGTTGTGTCAATTCAATCCCACACCTTGCCCTGACTGGCTCCAAGGGCAATACCTGTTGATGCTGTGGAGTGCACAGAACCACTCCCCATGGTGCCTTCAGCAACCCCTGTCAAAGGCTCTGAGGTGATTTTGATGGTCTCCAGATCATTGAGAATCTCTAATGTCGAAGATCCTCTCATAGTCTCCATTTCTTTACATCTCTTCTTGCCATGAACACCTTGTGTTGCTGCTCATTCTTGGAGACCTCACACTGGAAAAGGAATGTTTGCACTCTGAACACATTTAAGTGGCGATGAGAATCAAGAGATCGACCCGTGATGTTGAAATGAGTCCTTTGACAACATGTTGAGTTGACTTGTGTGCTGACTACTGCCATTCCCCGCAAAATTTTGGCTGTGAGGGCGATGTGAAGGGGTTTCGAAAGTTGATTCGCCTTTGGCCGTGCCTTTCAGGAATGCCAGAAGCTGAGAATAACCATCAGCAATCATAGGATATCATATGATATCATAGGCATACAAAAAAGCTGTCCTCAATCTTGGAGAATTTCGGATTGCGTTTTTAAAATGCATGGTAGATGTTTGCTTTCGCAGTATTACTCCTTTTGGATTCATTCAGATATTTCAGTGATTTCCAGTGCGCAAATTTGGCAGAGACTTTGCTAAGGTTCTCCGCTCGGGCACTGACCCACACACGAAAGGCTGTTGCGCAACGGCTGCCCAGACTACTGGAGCTGGGCCGCCGCAGCTTTTACGAGGCACTGCATTCCGTCCCAGTTCATAACCAGCATATCGGTTTCATATCCATGTCACAAAGCATTTGGAATTTCCACATATTTCCAATATGAACATGTTTTGTCCATCCCACTTCATGATACTTCATGGAAGCTTTGACTGATATCGAATGGTTTTGACACAACTTGCTTCAAGAATTGCAACCTCAGACACCGCAGCATGCCAAAGCTGCTTAACTTGAACTTGCGTAGTATCACACCGTGAAGTGAGCTTTGAGTAAAAGACTTTCTTTCTATATTTATATCATTTAATTAATTATATATAATAATATGTATATACATATCAGTATGTATACTGTATATGATGTTGATTGGTTTTGTATGTTGGATCATGTTGGATCATGTTGGATCCACTGGATCAGGATGCTGCCTCGACGACCAACACCTTGTATTTAGAAAGCCTCTACACTCAGTACCAAGCAGATCCCTCCAAGCTCGATGTCCCGTGGCATGGTTTAGTGACGAAGATTTTGAATGATGTAGGCATAATCATATATTATGTGAATATATATATATATATATGTAGATAGATTTAGTCATTTAGTGTGCGCGTTTATCTTTGATGAGATATTAGGACATATATGGAAATATGCCTTTACAATCCTTTACAATTTTGTAAGTGTGTGCATGTTCATCTCCTCCTAGCTATGCTTGCTGAGCATGCTGTGCTGCTTGAAACTCTCGGAATAGAATTCCTGTCCTCCATAATTTATCATGTTTCTCTAGCCTGATTTTTGAGCATTTTTGCTGGTATGTTCGTTTGGGCTGAAGTTCTCCGGTGACAACTGAATCCTCAGCACCTCTTTTTTACACTGCGTGTCAATGCAGAACATGTACATGACCCTTATTTGCTGTGATGGTACATCCATTGTGCATTTGGACTGGTTATCTAGGAAGGCATGCTTGGAGGCTGCAAATTGCAACAATGGTGAGTTTCAGTTTTAAGAAGCAGCCTGTGCTGAAATTGTAAGATCATGTAAGATCAGGTGTTGGGTCATACCACGACAGTGGAATCTATACCACGACAAGATATTAAAAACCACGACAAGAGGGTAGCACGAGTAGCGCATACCTTGTTCAATTGACGATTTGTTCAAAAACATGCCACTAATCAAACCAAACATGCCACTAATCAAACCAAACATGCCACTAATCAAACCAAACATGCCACTAATCAAACCAAACATGCCACTAATCAAACCAAACATGCCACTAATCAAACCAAACATGCCACTAATCAAACCAAACATGCCACTAATCAAGTAGCCCAAGTAGCTATCATTGGTCACTAATGACATCAAACATTGGTCGATCAAGTCCAGTGTAGCCCAAGTAGCTATCATTGGTCGATCAAGTCCAGTGTAGCCCAAGTAGCTATCATTGGTCGATCAAGTCCAGTGTAGCCCAAGTAGCTAGCATTGGTCGATCAAGTCCAGTGTAGCCCAAGTAGCTATCTCAGCCCAGTGTAGCCCAAGTAGCTATCTCAGCCCAGTGTTGCCCAAGTGACAACAAGCAATGAATGCCTTTACATCGATTTTGTAATGGAAATAGGATGCTGTCTGTCCGAGCTGTATGTATGCCAATGGACTTGAGCACAAGCTGAAGCTGGCTGTTGCTTCAAGGTTCCAGCACCCAGACTCCCCCAGCCCCAAATCCGTAAGCCTTCTCCCCCAAATCCAGTTCCAATCCAGAAACAATCCGCAAGGCCTTTTCCCCCAATCCTCCCCCAAAGCTGGTAAAAATCCGTAAACAATCCGTAAGCCTCCTCCCCCAAATCCGGTAAAAATCCGTAAACAATCCGTAAGCCTCCTCCCCCAAATCCGGTAAAAATCCGTAAACAATCCGTAAGCCTCCTCCCCCAAATCCGGTAAAAATCCGGAAACAATCCGTAACCCTCCTCCCCCAAATCCGGTAAAAATCCGGAAACAATCCGTAAGCCTCCTCCCCCAAATCCGGTAAAAATCCGGAAACAATCCGTAAGCCTCCTCCCCCAAATCCGGTAAAAATCCGTAAACAATCCGTAAGCCTCGTCCTCTACATCCGGTAAACATCCGTAAACAATCCGTAAGCCTCGCCCTCCACATCGGGTAAAAATCCACAAACAATCCGTAAGCCTTCTCCTCCAAAACCGATCGAAATCCATAAACTTTTATGCCATAAACAATCCGCAAGCCTCTTCCCCCAAATCCGGTAAAAATCCGTAAACAATTCGTAAGCCTCCTCCACCAAATCCGGCAAGAATCCGTAAACAATCCGTAAACCTCCTCCCCCAAATCCGATAAAAATCCATAAGCAATCCGTAAGCCTTCTCCCCCAAATCCGGTAAAACTCCGTAAACAATCCGTAAGCCTCCTCGCCCCAATACGTATATTATTATATTATTAGTGGATGATGGCAACTTGAAAAAGATCAAGAGTCTTTCATGATGCCCTGGGTGAATACTTGGGTACAATTCGTGTTATACATTGGTATGCATAACCATGGTTCGAAACTGAAATCTAGTCGAAGGAAGTTAGGAAGCAATACTTCCGGGTTACGGCCAAATAGAATTGTGAAACTTGACATTGATGAAGGCGGTACATCACATAACAAGACATAACAAGAGAATAAGAAGCCATGACACAGGGTGGTGACGAAGGGAAGTGGTGACGTTGGCCTACGGATTTCTTACGGATTCTTGCCAGAGCAGCTTACGGATTTCCAAGGGCTTTTTTGCTTTGTGGCTGACGGATTTTGTACGGATTTCTGGTGCATTTGGGGGAGGAGGCTTACGGATTGTTTACGGATTTTTACCGGATTTTGGGCATGAGGCTTCCGGATTGTTTACGAATTTTTACCGGATTTGGGGGGAGGAGGCTTACGGATTGTGTACGGATGCTTGCCGGATTTGGAGGAGGAGGCCTACGGATTGTGTACGGATGTTTACCGGATTTGGGGGAGGAGGCTTACGGATTGCTTACGGATTTTTACCGGATTTGGAGGAAGAGCATTGCGGATTGCTTATGGATTTCGATCGGGTTTGGAGGAGAAGGCTTACGGATTGTTTGCGAATGTTTACCGGATGTAGAGGACGAGGCTTACGGATTGTTTACGGATGTTTACCGGATGTAGAGGACGAGGCTTACGGATTGTTTACGGATTTTTACCGGATTTGGGGGAGATGGGGAGGAGGCTTACGGATTGCTTCTGGATTTTTACCGGATTTGGTCGAGGAGGCTTACGGATTGTTTACGGATTTTTACCGGATTTGGGGGAGGAGGCTTGCGGATTGTGTGCGGATGTTTACAGGATTTGGGGGGAGGAGGCTTATGGATTTTTACCGGAATTGCATGGAGGAGGAGGCTTACGGATTGTGTACGGATGTTTACCGGATTTGGGGGAGGAGGCTTACGGATTGCTTACGGTTTTTTTACCGGATTTGGGGGAGGAGGCTTACGGATTGTTTACGGATTTTGACCGAATGTAAAGGAGGAGGCTTACAGATTGTTTACGGATTTTTACCGGATTTGGGGGAGGAGGCTTACGGATTGTTTACGGATTTTTTACCGGATTTGGGGGAGGAGGCTTACGGATTGTTTACGGATTTTTACCGGATTGGGGGGAGGAGGCTTACGGATTGTTTACGGATTTTTACCGGATGTAGAGGACGAGGCTTACGGAATGTTTACGGATTTGTACCGGATTTGGGGGGGGAGGCTTGCGGATTGTTTATAGATTTGGACCGGATTTGGGGGAGAAGGCTTCCGGATTGTGCTTTCTGGCTGACGGATTTTGTACGGATTTCTGTCGGTCAGCTTACGGACTCCTAGGGTTGAAAAGAGCTTTGTTCGGCGCAGGTGAAGAAAATCATCCACCGGAAGAAGATGTGAAAAAAAGGCGGTTCTAACAAGTAAGCATTCATTATGCTACCAAAGCTTGAGCAGTGCCATATAATACATTTAGGGTATGGTAAACCAAAAAAACCAAACAACACAAACTACTATGAGAATATATAATTACAAATATATATATATATATCATACTATATATGTATATTTACCAATTTATAAAAAATCACCAAAACCACATCACGTTAGGGCACGTCTTAATTACGAAAGTGGTCTTCTAATGACGAAAGAAGTTCTTTAATGACGAAAACACATCAATCAACTAATTGCGAAAAAAAAACTCTTTAAGCGCGAAAGAATTGATGCATAGTGAGTCTTCAGGTTGTCACAGTGGGTGCTAGGTTTTCTTATAGTTTTTTTTCTTTTTCTTATAGTGAGTCTTCAGGTTGTCACAGTGGGTGCTAATAGGTTTTCTTATAGTTTTTTCTTTTTCTTATAGTGAGTCTTCAGGTTGTCACAGTGGGTGCTACTAGGTTTTCTTATAGTTTCTTTTTTTCTTATAGTGAGTCTTCAGGTTGTCACAGTGGGTGCTAGGTTTTCTTATAGTTTTTTTTCTTTTTCTTATAGTGAGTCCTCAGGTTGTCACAGTGGGTGCTAGGTTTTCTTATAGTTTTTTCTTTCTTTTTCTTATGGTGAGTTTTCAGGTTGTCACAATGGGTGCTAGGTTTTCTTATAGTTTTTTTCTTTTTCTTATAGTGAGTCTTCAGGTTGTCACAGTGGGTGCTAGGTTTTCTTATAGTAAGTCTTAGATTTTTATTCGCATTTAAAAGGTTTGCTTTTTCGCAATTAAAAGTTTTTTTTCGCAATTAAACATCCAATTTCTTTCGCAATTAGAACGTACTCTGTCACTTCTTTTTCTTATGGTGAGTTTTCAGGTTGTCACAATGGGTGCTAGGTTTTCTTATAGTTTTTTTCTTTTTCTTATAGTGAGTCTTCAGGTTGTCACAGTGGGTGCTAGGTTTTCTTATAGTAAGTCTTAGATTTTTATTCGCATTTAAAAGGTTTGCTTTTTCGCAATTAAAAGTTTTTTTTCGCAATTAAACATCCAATTTCTTTCGCAATTAGAACGTACTCTGGAGCTTCACGTGAAAACACTGCTGACTACCGCAGACGAGTCTGAAGTTGCGCATTGTTTTCCATTGCCAGTTGTGATGGATCTGTTTGCCATCAGTGATTGAATCCTGCTTGATGGTTACGTTTCACCCATCAATTAGCCAGCTGACCATTTTGGTCAAGTAGAAACCAACCCTAGGGGTTGAGAAAAGCCGAACGAACGCTTGTCTGAGAAACAGAGTGGTCGCAAAATCGAAAAATACAAACAGAAGCAGAAGCAATGTATGGATATAAATGTTGAATGCGAAAAGAAAAGGTTCATTGTCATTCTCAGGACATCAGCATGGAGTGAAAACAGCAAAAACATGCTGTAAACTCCCGGACTGAGTGTTCCAATGTAATGAAGCATTTCATTGATTAAAACACAATGAAACCAGTTCATTAAGAGTGTGATTGCTGGCAACGCAGACAGTCGATGGTGTGTTTGCCGGTCGTGGTTAAATCTTTGGTCCTTGTCGTGGTTCGCAGCCGGGTTTTGTCGTGGTTTGGAAACCTAGTTTTAGTCGTGGTGAAAACGTACTCTCAGAATGTAAGATCAATATTCATCGGAATGCACGTGTTATGTTCAAATCGTTTTATGATTTTGCGTTGTATTTTGCATGATGTCGTTTGATTTTTTCGTTTCATGATGTTTTGCAATATGTTTCATGTTAGCTGTTCCTCCGAGGCCAAGTGGGGTGAATACTTTGCGGCTATGGAAGCTGGACAGAAAGCAGAGCCTCCAGCAATGGGCTCTTCACTGAGGTCAGCACCACAGATTTTGGCAATTTTCGGCATAAGGATCTTGTCATGATTGTCATGATTGTAATGCGTCAGTGAGAATCAGTGTAATTACGGTGGATTACCGTGGTACTCGTATGAAATATGCCATATCTGTAGGCTGATTATAGGATATTATAGGTATATAATGGTATATAGATATGCGATGTACATGGACGCGTGGCAGATGTCTCTGTATTAACCTGGAGCTAAAGCTCGGTAATGTTTTGTCAACAGCTACTCGTAAGCAAAATAAAGCAGATTGATTTTGTGACCCATATTCAACATATTCCTTCAAATACAGCATTCCTACTCCACTTGTCCGGACAACGTTTGTGGCATCAAATGCGGACAACGTTTTGGACGACTTTTGGACGTTTTGGACGAGTGCCCAGGCAGCTTGGCATCGAGACTCGCTTGGCTGCTGCTGTGACGTCAGGAGAAGCAGCCGCTGGTCTTGTGGCCTCCAGCAGTGGTGCAGGCAGGACGCCAAAGCGCCACAGAAAGTGCCACATTCAGCGAAGCTGTAAAGTATTGTAAAGTTCTGTAAAGATCGTAAAGCCAGTCCGACTCTGTCCAATTCAACATTGGAACATATTGGAACATATTGGAACATATTGGAACATATTGGAACATATTGGAACATATAACAAAAACATCATGCATCACCCGCCATGCCAATTTTGCAGCTTCTGGGAAGACCTTGAAGGGTTACTCACTGAATAGTCACAGTCAATATCAATCCTTTTTGTTCAGCTATGAATGATGCAATGAGGTGCACCATAGAGGGTACAGAAGGCCGAATACACCCTTCCACCACATCTCACCACCACCTTTTCTGCCATGAACCTCATTCTACTTCTTCATGAAGTGTTATATACATGATGCTCCACGGACTGCAACCAGCATGCAACCTTTATATGCACGAGAATGATTACCATGAGCATATGGGTTCTTAAGTTCTTAAGTTCTTATGGCTTTATATAGAGAGCAACTAGAACACTCATATAGTTTATGTGCTTCTGTTGGCAGGTAACGTTTTCCCATGTTTTCACATCCTTGACTAGACCAAAAGCCAGAGGTTTGCAGAAGTAAGCCTTTTCAGCAGCATCTTATCATTCTAACCTCATACCATGTTCAACTGGCTTGAAGCCAGTTCCATGCAAGGGCATTCAAGGGCCAAAGTGATTCAAAGTCATTTGAATTCATCGAATTCATGGGGCCAGGTGGCTTGCAGAATTTGATCCGTGCGTATCAAGTGCGCGGACATGAATCGGCCTCTCTAGATCCGCTGAACCTCCACAGCTGGCGCCGCTTGTCAAGAAAAGAATCGAGTACAGGCAGACAACAGATGTAGGCAGTAGGGGGAGAAATTCAGATCGATATGCACAGATTTTGAATTCAGATCATGGCGTATCATGTTAGAAAATGTTAGAAATACATACAAAACATACAAATATGAGTGAAATCAAAGGACTTGACTCAACTTGACTCCGTGAGTTGGTGAGTCCTCAGTGGCGTGCGCCGCGCGGAGCCTCAAGGCAATTGGCAGGAGAAGGGAATTGCTGAAAGCGTCCCGGAGCTGGATCCAACTTACCATGGCTTTTCTGAGGCAGCAGCCCGGCAGAGTTGAATGTTTGTGAAATTGACGCGCAGAAGCCAAAATCAATTTACTTTAAAACAGCCATGGCTTGAAAGATCAACTCAAAAATCTGCAAATGTAAAATTATATTCAAGAAGATGAAGTGCAGAAAAGCACGAAGAGAAAGTTGGAAAACAAGACAGCAACGAAGCCGTTGAACTCTAAGCCAATGAGCTAGTCAACATGGAGATTGACATGGATAGGTTTAAGAGCTGCCTAGATTCTAATGGAGAGCCCACTTGCTCACAAGCTGAGGATATGGACAAAACATTTGACGTGAGCTTTGCTGGTCTCAACAAGAGCGCAACTCTCCGGGAAATTGTCGACACCTTGAGATGCCTGGTAGCAGGAAGCATTTAGGAACGATCGAGTTCCCTTGCACTCCCTTGCATTTGGCAATTGGCAGTTGGCAACTCTCAGCATTCAACCTGTCAGCGCATACACTATTTGAACGAGAACTTAGTCTTCTTAGTCCTTACACTAAACTCCCCCCAAGACTATTGCATTTGAACTACTTACAGCAGCTTGATATGCGTTCGATTGGAATCGAGTCTGACCAAGGACACGTGTATTGCAATAGCATTGGCGTTGAGTATATGCACATTGGCGATCTTCAAAAGCTTGATTGGATTAGAA